AATATTTCATATATAATATTTCATGTGAACGTTTTTTGTGGTAAACCGCAAAAAAAAAACTGATATTTTCAGTTACGCCTTCTGTTACATTTTTACTCATATTTTCTAAAACTGTAAATTTCCGCAGCTGATTCTTTTTGCATCATATTTATGAATAGTTAGACTATTAATAAAAATAATGTAGCGCGTGGGGAGACGTGGCACAGTGGGACAAGCTAGTACAAGGGCGTAAATTAAATGGTATTTACAAATATCATAATTTGACTAATATGGCGACCAATATATAATAATCAGTAGCTTTTTTTCATTTAATTTGCGATATTATATTTTTTTTGTAGGTTAAAATGCATAGAAGACAAGTATGTCAAATTCAATATTCTGCGTGTGCATATTTCAAAACCATATTATTGTGAAAGAAATATTAAGTAAAAATATGTAGTAATATATATTTTTAAAAAGGTTATGTTATGCTTATTACAACACAGCTACTTGATTTTCAAAAAAGTTCACATATCTCAGTAACTGATTAAAAAGTGACATAAGTTATTTTTCACGAAATTTATTTTTCGAAGGTTTTAACTGTTCCCCGCGCTGAAGAAGTAACAAACATACACACTCACAAACTTTCGCCTTTATAATATTAGTGTGATTTACATTAAAACATTACCTTTCGTATAACGTTTTATTAGCTTCGTACATTTTTAGAATGTTTCAAGCTGTCCATGTGTTTGTCATTTTTTAGTATTTTTTTTATAGAGATCTCTAAATTAGTAATTTTAAATCGTTGACGTGTATTTTTATTCGTCAAGGATTATATATTTATTTCTTTGTAATTAAGTATTTTGTTATGCTAAAGTTCCCAAATAAGTGCTTAAAGCCCTCTCTTACATGCAAGATATAACTTACTAGAGACTCGCACCGAATTTACACGGGTGAAATTCGTATTGAAGCGATAGAATAAAGCTTATTCTCCTTAACGATACTGAAAAAAGTTTAAAAGTTCCCGAGATTACTTCCTACAAACAAACAACGTTAACCTATTTGTAAAAATACTTAAGATATGGCATATTTTATGACAAAGTTATTTACTTATGTATTGTATCACGTGTATTACTGTCATACTTCTGAGTAGGTACCGCTAGTATATTTATATATTGTTCATGAAGCGTCGTATCAAATGTTAAATATTGTCGAATTTGCATACTTTTTTGTAAATAGTTATCATGTTTATAACTTTAATAAGTATTCGCTAAAAAAAGTTTTTCTGACACTACTGTTTAGAAAACTTATCTGCGACCTTCAACAAAACCTAGATATAAAAAAAAACTCAATGGAATTTTATTCAATCAATTCTTGTAAAAGAATATATTGTTTCAAATATTAGTTAACTCTACGCAAGCTTAAGCTCTATGTTTGAATGAAGTATTGTTTTTGGTAGGTACATTAAAAAAACCGGTTACTTTGATGAATAATATTACTTATGATTTTTAACAGATACAGTTTGTGATTAAATTGTATTATATTCATATAATGTAGGATATAGGCAATATTTAAAAAATAAGTAACCTAATGTGTAAGAACCATATTAAATACTTAGGTAGGTATTCAAAGAAATGACGCTTGTATTCAAAATAGAAAATGTTTACTATTGAGGTTACTAAAACATCGAAGCAACACTCTCCTACATCATGCATTAATACAAAAATATTCATAATTTAAAATGATTATGTTATCTGGTTGTGCTCTAGCTTTCAATAGGGCCATAATCATATAAATCACTTATTAAATGCAAGCCACATATTTTTCTTATCAAACTTTTAGAAACTTTCTCCGCTACATTATTATAAAATATCAATAACTACCTACTTAGTCAAAACTCGTTCGGAAAAGTAGAAAAAAAATGATTGAGAACTTTTTTCTGTCCGTTATGATGTTTTGAAATGAGGACGAAGGTTTGCGCCGACACAGCTTGAGGACAAAACAGTCTAATGTTGCGGCTAAGGATTAAATGTCTCATTTGTAGCGAGATGCCGGTCTTTAGAGAAGGCAATATTTGTGAAGAGAAGGATTAGTGGTGTTTGTATTAATTTGTAGGCACTGCATTGGAATCACCGCACCGCCACAGCTATTTGGATGTCACACAAAAGGCTGTGTCCGCCCGTCGCCGCTGCATTACGCAGAAAATGTGAAAAAAAAAACTTCCAAAGTGTCATTGTGGCATTAAGCGTGCCGCCCAACGGTCGCAATATCGTTATACAATGTTTATACAAAATAAATACTCTACCTGCCGTTTTTTTGTCAACAAGGAGACAAGAAAGACGCTTAAAATGTTATTTTTGCTGTTATACATTCCACCTATTAAAATGTTAATTTTAGTACTTACACATATTTATTATTCTATATCGCAAATAATGGAGAGACATTAGCCGCATATTTTCATAATGATAAAGCATAGTTATAGCATTTATTAATTGACGAAATACATCTTCACCCACCAAAATTATTTTCAGATGGATATTTTTTTCTTTATATTGTTAAATTTATTATTAAATTTGACTTATATTATTTAAATCATGATGAGTATTGATGGTATTTATAAAAATATTGTATCTTTAATTTTTGTTTGTTTTTATAAAAACATAGTTTATAATATGCAGCTTTATTATTCCCAACAAAGTGACAGTAGAGGTATGTACTTGAATATTGTTTTGTATGTCAAAGTAATAAATAACGCACTTTAGTTTACTTTTGTCTACCGGTGCTCGGATTCATCATACTTATAATCAAATTGAATCACGTCATAATTATTTCATATTTAATCTTTAAGTAAGTATATTGTAATATATTAGAAGTAAGTATTATTAGGACTGTTGATATACTTTTACATTATTTTTATACCAGTAATAAGAGGTGTCGCCAGTTTCTAACAAAGTCGCATACAGAAAATTCTTAGACACATGTAAGTGTTAGTGATAAATTTAGCAAGGCGTCGTCAGTTGTCTAAGTTTAGCATACGCGTTCCCAATCAATAATACTAAAGACCAATTTTATTCGAACATCAAAATCGCCGGTAGGAAATATAAAACGCCGGGTCATAAAACTATTTGGACGTTATAATTGTGGATGGGCTCTAATTTATCTACTCCCAGAAAGTATATATTTTAATCGTCGAGTATTAATTATTATTCATCATTCAAGGCGAATGGACGCAGTATGCATATCAATATTTGACTTTGGTTACGATGAGAACCGGACCAGCAACTAGTTTTCCGAATTTATTAGTGTGACGAGCACACATACAGAAGTATATTTCATAAGAATATGAACCGGCAGGTTATTTCAATCGTTAACAGATAAAAAGCGTCTTAATATTTTATAGAGCACTCATAAAACTTAGCTATGAGATAAGCGACCAATGTAGCGGTCATAATAATAAAATTTGACAGTCTGTCATTGTAATAAAAATAATGTACTACGTTTCTCTTTTATACGGAATCATAAGAAATAACAGAATGAACTTTAGTTACTTTTCATGATATTATGAAAAAAACACATCCAAGAATATCTAATCACACTAATATTATAAAGGCGAAAGTTTGTGTGTGAGTGTGTAAGTTTGTTACTTCTTCACGTCTAAACGGCTTGAGCGATTTTAATAAAATTTGGTATGAAGTTAGCTGACCTGACCATCGATTAACACATAGGTTACGTTTTACTGCGGGAAAATATCCCTAATAAACCGTTGGTAACACTGCGGGGCACAGCTAGTAATTAAATTAATATACGTGGTCAATCAAATCAATAGATTTCTGACAAAAATAAGCAAAAAACCATGAAACAGACATAGCAGAAAAGACTACCACAATTCACTTACTTTAAATTATATTCAAAGACCGGGAGTCGAACCCGGGAGAGAAGTTACGGAGGTCGTAATATTGCGTTAGAGTCTTATTACAAAGATGCTAAAATAACACAGTAAATTCTGTTACCTGAGAAAAAGAAGCGAATTCAGACAACGATTTAGTTTATATTACCAAAAAAATTTTTTTTCACAATAGTTTTTCCACCCTAGTTCAATAATTGTGCAACTATGTCACCTTAGCCATTTTAATTATCATAATACAACTATTTTTAGAACATCGTACTTTAAACGGATAATAATTCCTTAAAGGTATGTTAGTTACAAATTTTGCGCCGTTTATAACATATTTTGTAAACAATATAAATAAATATTTTTGGTCGGAGGTGTAGTACCTACGTTTATTGTTTATAACTCACTATTTTTATTTACACGATTTTTAAGTTTCTCAGCTAACTCAAAATTCACGGTGTATACCTACTAAACTAAAAGAGATTTTATTACTTGTACCTATCAAAAAATGTAGATAATTGTAGAGTTGTTTTTGTTTAGAACTTTTTTTTTTTACAAAATCTTAGTATGCTTTGATTTATCGAAGAGGGACTACGAAATTAATATCACTCTTTATAAATCTCTTGGGCAAAAACAAACTAATATTTTTGCTGCAGCAAAGTAATCCAAACTGATACTTAGTATTTATTTTTTGTACAAAATTTCCAAAAATTTTAACTCTTGAATGAAAAATCAACAAAAAATAAGAATAAAAAGATCTTTAACAATATTTTCAAGTTATTTTGCTTTATTTTCTGGATACAATACTTAGCATCTAGTAAACTTTACATATAAACTTTTGCTTTAGTCAATACAATTGCGTAACTTAAACAATTTTGTATCTGCCTGTTTGTAATTTCGCAACAACTATGAAAGATGTGCTTAAAAAGAATTCATTTACCTTTTATAAAAAATATATTTACTTTCCTTTGGATTACTCTTTTAAGATTGCTGTAATCGACTCTACTATTGACACAATGACATTACACTCAAGTTTTCACTTTGTTTGTTTACCTAACGAGCCGCATAATATTTTTCTACAAAAAGCTGAATCAGTCCGGTACGAAAATTCACTTCACTGTTTACTCACCGCGCTGGCAGCGAGCTTTAGCGCCCGCTCTCTTGTGGATGCCGAATTTTATCGTCGCTAACTGTATCATTTTCTCAAACAACCGTAACGAGGGCGAACCGTAACTTATCGCGTTATTATATCACCGGGTGGTTATCACTGTTCCATGTATTGCGTGGTGTGGTGGGTCTGGTATGGTGTTGGGTAGGTACCGATGGACACGCGGCGGACGCAGGCGGGCTTGACGCGCGGCATGGTGGTGCGCGCTGGTCACAGCCGGCGCATGGCAGGGTGTACTCCGCGGGACCGGCGCCGGGTCACTCGCGCTCGCGGGCAGGGCTCGCTGGCTACGTAAACGGGTTGCAGCCGGGCGCTCCGCTCGCCATCTGAAGCGGGACTGAGCGCGAGGCGGCGGCGGGCGGCGGGCGGCGAGCGGCGGCGCGCGCGCGCACCAGGTACACGATTATGACAGGGAGGCGGGGCTGCGCCCGACTCATAAATCAAACTTCGCCCATTCGCACGCGGCGCGAGCCCCCCCACCTCCATATTCCATATTCGGGGCGGGGCATATTTCATAATCATAACGCCTCATATTCATAAGCGATGCATGCCGGTGCCGGCGCGGCGCCGCGGGCGGGTGGTGGGCGGTGACGCCCGCTAGATGGCGGCCGCTCGCCCCGCGAAGCCTCCCACATTCGCTAATTGAAGGTACACGTCATAAATTTATGTTTGCAGCCGGTTATAACAACTGACTAATAAAACGTGAAGTTTGGATAGTCGATGTTTGTGTTCGACTGAGCTTTAAATGTTATGCCGGCGCTTTTTTTTAAAGAATGACAACTAGTGTAAACTTTTGATTATTATGACAAAGTTATTTTGCTACTATGTAGTAAGTAGTCGAAGGTGTTGTAATTTGATATAGTATTGCAGTTTGTTTTTATATGACATTTTTGTGCAAGTTACAGCAAATATGTAGGTGTAGATGTTATTTACATTTTAGATGCAATATTTTAAGTACGTGTTTTCTATGTTACTTGACACGAAATGTACGGAATGTACCTGCTGTAGGTTCATGCTTATCAACGAAAACTTACGAAACAAATGCTTACTGGTACAGGTGGGTTATTAGCAGCAATTAATCACAGAAACCACATATCTACCTGTAACTAATTGCTAACGGTTGTAGATACGTATTACCCCTGGATATTTTTAATAAGTAGTATGTTTCCTTTTGTTTACTGATGTGACAATAAAAAAGAGGTAGGTACCTAGGTAATAATAATTTGATAAAATTAGTTATATTCAAGGCAAACTATTCAATTTAAATTGAAAAAAATCTACTCAAAGACATTCTTAATATATCAACAGTTTTGGGCTGAATTGAAATTCAAGTCATCTAATTATTGATTAATTTATAATGAGTAATTAAGCCTTCAACGAAATAATAAATAAAAGACGGTACATGTGGCCGTACTTAAACATGTAATGAGACTATTTGGTAATAGACAATACAAAAAAACAGAAGATCTTTATAATGACTTATACTATTAAAAAAAAATCACTTACCTAATTAGGTGTATGATAAATTTATGACACTATAATTATAGTGTATTAAAATAATTAAACATTTGATATTTAGATTTTATTTAATAGGTACATTTAACGATTTTTGTTTATATACATCATTTACTTGATAATTTCTTGACAAACTAGTACTGAATCATTTATAATGTCACTTTAAACCTTTAGTTATTTTTAATGTAACTAATATACGAAACGGAAATAATTGAAAATATAAAGAAAATGATCGGTAGTCACTTAACTGTACCAAAAGGTGCCGTTAATTTTTGTGTTGTTTTGTACTTTTTTGCTTACAAAACACGCCAGTTTTTTAATAAACAACACAAAAAGCTAAGTTTGTTAAAAAAATATATACTAAGCTTAAGTATGTGTCAGTTTAAACAACAGGCTATAACTAAATCTAATAAAATACTTAGTTTATTGAAGAAAAACTTAAATGAACAAATTTTTAATGTCAGCTGAAATGTGTATTATTAACATTCTACATTCTAAAAAAACTTAGTTCGTTAAGGAAATTTTTATGAACGAAACTTTTTATATGTTAAAACGTCAGATTAACGTATGAAAAGGAAAAAAATTAAGCACTATGCTTTTCATGTAACTTAAAACGTTAGATTTAACAAAAAACATTAAAATATTACTTAGGAAGGAAGGCATATCTCCAAACGCAGTCAAGGACGAGTTGTACGTTTTCATAAATAAAATTTTAGCTTCGTGACATTTAAGAAGTCGTACCTACTTACTTAAATTTTGGTTTTCAAATTCGGAAACCTAGAGGCCGGAATAATTTTCCCCCCGAAAATAAAACAAACGAAGAGTTGGAAATTCGAAAAATCGAGAGTAATTAGCTTAATTAACTTCATCAAAGAATATAATAATTTCATTTTTTTTATTTGTAATCGTATATAGGTAGTTAGGTACTTTCTAGGTTACTTACTATCAGCCAATTAAATTCCTGACCCCCCATAAGTCTGTTTTGTTACAACCATTACAAAACAGTGATCGCTTAAACTAAAAATAAAACTTGTTATTTCCTGAACAATCATATTTGACGTGCCAGATTTTGCCGTCTCCCAGTGACATATTGTTGACGTTAGATTATTTGGAGTTTTGCTCATTATCATCATAATCATCGGCCTATTCATGTCCCCACTGCTGGGGCACAGGTCTTCCCTATGGATGGAATAGGGTGATTGGGCCTCCACACGGGCCCAGTGCGGATAGGAAATCCGCTATGCCTCTACCTCTCATATGCTTGTTCGCTACTTTTTTTTACAATAGATTAACAAGGGTAGACTAGAAATTTCCATATAAATATTTTTTTGTTCAAATAGGAATCTTTTTTATTTAAAAGCTTTCTAAGTTCCAAGGTAGAACTTGTACAATTTGGCCTCGACACAGCCATGATGGACAATTTTATTTTGGCAATGCCTTATTGACACAGTCACAAGGTTTATATTCGCAACTTTTGCTGCGTAGTCTCGGCAGTATTACAGATTTAAAATTATATGGCTGTAGGTACTATAAATCCTTACAATCCATGCTAATATTAATAATGCGAAATAGATTTGTGTGTCTGTTATGCTTTAACGCCGCTGAAGTCTGATTCACACCAAGGGCGTCGCCAGCTTTTGTCTAAGGGGCTGGGGGGCAACGGGGCAATATAATAGGTAAAAGTCAATTGCTCGCACTTTGGTCGCTTTGCGGCTAGCTACATTTGATGTCTAGGGGGTGCCCCCCCTTGGCGACGCCCCTGATTCACACCACATTAAAATAATACTACCTTTTTTGGTGTCGTGTTTCTGTCGAAGAATAAGGTTTCAGGGCTCCAGGAGGTAGGGAATTGGGTCAGGGTAGGCAACGGCGAGTCAGGGTAGGCGAGTTACATTTTTGGTATCGCAAGACTCTAGCAGGGGTGCTCAAACGGTCGATCGCGATCGAACTACGAATATCTATATATGCTACGGTACACCCTACCTAGGTAGGTAGGGGGGGCGTATCGTGTATGTACGATAACCCTGCATCACACATACTTGCAGCCTCTCAGTGTAGCCGCACACGGGCCACACGCCTCAGCCACCAACGCCGCCACGAGTAGCTAGAAGCGGCTACTAAAGTAGCTGAAGCGCGCGACATTGGCCGACTAAGGTAAGGGAGAGAGGGGTGCGGAATCGCGCCAGTGACGTGTGGCGGCGTTTTGTATCGGCGCATTAAGTGGCCGGTGCGGGCCACAAGAAGCGAGCAACGACGATTTAGAGCGTGTGGCGGCCACCGGCGTACCGTGTGTGGCGAGTCCACATAAAATGTATGAAAACTACAAGAAATATGCTGGTGGCAGCGTTTTGTGGTTGTGGTCGGTGACCCGTGTGCGGCGACACTCAGAGTCATCGCCAGCAGTTCAAGTTTGAGCACCCCTGCTCTATAGGCTATTGTGCCCGCTCTTAATTTTGTATGGTGGAAGTTACTTCTTTTGACGACCTCCGTGGCCGAGTGGTTTATACACCGGGTTTCATGTTGTCGCCGACTCAAGAGGTCCCGGGCTCGAATCCCGGTGGGGTCAGATGTTTGTATGATGAATACGAGTATTTGTACTCCAGTCATGGATGTTTCATATGTACTCGTATTTATATATGAATAAACTTATATATGTACAATATATGTATTCTAACCGTTACCCTAGTATCCCATAACACAAGCCTTATAGTGCTTGCTTTGGGGCTGGGTGATTGGTGTGAGTGTTGGAAATATTTATTTATTTATTATACTTCCCCTGACGGGCGCATTTATTTGAGCGGAAAATCAGCTACCTAATTACAAATTTTTGTAACAAATAGCGACAAAAACACAACACCACCCAAAGGTACTGTTATTTCTTCGCGGTCTTCGGAAAGATGGAGGGAAGGTTACATCCTCGGTCGGACGCTCCAATATGAGAGTGAAACCCACTATGCCCTAACTCTCTTGTTAATTCGACCAAGGAACGGTTGGTGTAAAGATATAAATATTTCCAACACTCACACCAATTAGCCTAGCCCCAAAGTAAGCACTACCCCATTATTAATAAACAAGGAATAAGCTTAGACTAGTTACGCCGTGTTTTGTTCATATCATTCAAATGTCATTTGTCATTCAATAGACAGAGACAAAACATGGAGTAACTAATCCAAGCGTAGTCTTTGTTTATAAGGAGGTATATGTTTTGGGATACTAGGGTAACGGATAGAATACATAATACATACTGTACATATCTTTATATATCTAATTCTTCTGTGAGTGTGTATGTCACTGAACTTCTCTTAAACGACTGGACCGATTTTGATGAAATTTTTTGTGTGTGTTCAAGGGGATCTGAGAATGGTTTAGATTCACAATTTTGTCCGCTGGACAACCCCTATTTTTTTAGGGCGGTACGAAGTTCGCTGGGTCAGCTAGTATAAGTATATTTTTATAGAAATACATATTAAACATCCATGACTGGAGCTCAAATGCAACTGGACAAATGCTCGTATTCATCACACAAACATCTGTATTCGTATTCACCACTGGGGTATGAACCCGGGACCTCTCAAGTCGGCGACACCATGAAACCCAACGTACAAACCACTCGGGCACGGAGGTCGTCAATAAGTAGTACCTTCTAAGTACGTACCAAAACAATGACCCAAAAAGTATTTGGTGAACTTAGCTTTTATGTTGTTTAGTTAAAACCCGACGTTTTAGTTCAACTGACATAATATTTTAGTTCATCAAAATTTGTCCCATAACGAATTAATAATAATAATTTATTTCCAGTAAGAGATGATTTACAATTTAACTTATAAGGCTAAAACAGTACTAATATCTCTAAGATAACTACATATTTATCTGCTGCCGAGCTATGCAAAATAGGTATTATGGCATACAGCGCCAATCCCCTTAGCACATATGGC